ATGAATTACTGTAGAACATGTAAACATTTCAAGACAATAAAGCCATTGCAGGCCTGTGTTAACAATAAAACCATCGCAGACCTGTGTTAACAATAAAACCATCGCAGGCCTGTGTAATGGTTCTTTATAAGTATAATTTCTTAGCAAAGAAATGACGGTTTAGACGTTAAATATCATAAAATGAAATAAGAGACAAAAGCTAGCAATAATCTAATAAACACCTAAGTATTGTTTCAAATAAAGAACAGTGTCTAAGTTATAAATAATTTGGTTTTCATGAAAATGCATTTCAATTGTGACTCGCAAAATTTCAGAACACTCTCTATTCGGGATTGACCAGTTTTCTGGGATCGTCACTGTTAAAAACAAGTTAGACAGGGAAAGAACAGAGAACAGCAATAGTGCTTACGTTTTGGAAATTGAGGTGAGATTTTATAAAAATCTATTTTCTTTCAGAGTTCAAAATGTTTATTGAAATGGCGTAGACCTATAATGCAAAAAGACAGGTTTATTATCATTTATGTTGCTACAGTAATTAGCTGTTTTTATTTTCACTTATTTACATTAAAAGCGTAATCCTCTCTTGTTTACATTCGAAACTTTATGTAAAAATTATGCATAGTACTACTAATAATTAATAAAATAACAGTAAATCAATTGATAAATGACTAAATTGACTGACAGTTTTCCAGTTTGCCCCTGAAGAAGAAGAAAGGTCGACCTTTCGAAATCGCTCGGGTTATAGGGTTTTTATTCATTTCTATCAAGTATTCTTGAACCTACGTGTTTTTCTAACATCATGAACGTTAATTTTTTATGTATGATTCAGGTAAATCCCATATGATTTTATCTGTTTCATCTTTTGTCCTTGCCTCGAATTCAAATAATGGTATTGGTATTTAGAACCTGAACGACGTCTTGTACAACGGCCACGTTTGAGACTTAAGGTTCAAGTATAACTGTTTCTAATTTAGAATCTCTAGCCAGAGAGACTGCAACCAATAAGCAACACCCCACCTACGCAGCTAATCCTAACCGAATAGGGGAACAACTATGACAATTAAAATACCCCTCACTCAATTGAGAGTAGTGAACGTTTTCAGGAGCATATCCTGGCTCAAACCTTGTATATTTCGAATCCACAATCTAGCATGAGAACCATTATGTCGTGTCCAGTCATAACATCAGATATTGCTAGTTGTTGGTTTTTAAGAGTTATATATGGATACTTCATGCAGTCACAAACAGTGATCTAACTTTAATCACTATTTTATGGTTCAAATATAAGACAAACTTGATATTTTCATTTACAAATCTAAACAAATAGATAAACCGAAAGATACATCTACAACTACATAGATGAATACGCAAAAAGATATTCGGGTAGATGTTATTTACATAAATTGAAATATTTAGTAAAAATTACAGAACACATTAAGTAACTTCTGCATTTTACGACAGGTTTACGTGGGCATCCTGGTTGTCTATTTTATACCTAGTGTTACTAATAGAATGAATCTAATTTCTGTATTTTACGACATGCTCAACAGGACGCCGCAGTTCTATCCCAAGTGATTAAACTGACGCTACGACAAGAACAGATCTAACTACTCTATTTTACGACAGGTTCAAGTGGGTATCGTGTTTGTCTTTCTTATCCCCAAACTCAACTCCTGTATTTTACGACAAGCTCAACAGGACGCCGCAGTTCTATCCCAAGTGTTTAAACTGACGCTACGACAAGAACAGATCTAACTACTCTATTTTACGACAGGTTCAAGTGGGCATCGTGTTTGTCTTTCTTATCTCCAAACTCAACTCCTGTATTTTACGACAAGCTCACCAGGACGCCGCAGTTCTATCCCAAGTGATTAAACTGACGCTACGACAAGAACAGATCTAACCCCTGTGTTTTACGACAGGTTCAAGTGGACATCGTGTTTGTCTTTCTTATCCCCAAACTCAACTCCTGTATTTTACGACATGCTCAACAGGACACCACATTTTTATCCCAAGTGTTTAAACTGACGCTACCACAAGAACAAATTTATCTTCTGTATTTTAAGATAAGCTCAGTAGGATACCATAGTACTACCCCAGTGTTTAAACTAAAGCTATTACCAGAAGAAATCTGTGTATATTACGATGGGCTAATCATGACATCCTAGTCCATTCCTAGTGTTTAAGTTGAGTTATTATCAGAAGGAATCAAACTTCTTTATTTTACCATAGGCTCAACAGGACGTCCTAGTTCTATCCCTAATGTCAAACTGGAGTTATCACAAGAACAAATTTAACTTCTATATTTTACCATAGGCTCAACAGGACGTCCTAGTTCTATCCCTAATGTCAAACTGGAGTTATCACAAGAACAAATTTAACTTCTATATTTTACCATAGGCTCAAAAGGATATCGTAGTTTTTATCGCTAGTGTTAAACTGGGATTAATTACCAGAATAAATCTAACTTCTGTGTTTTATAATAGGCTCAAGAGGACACCTTAATAGTTTATCTTGTCCCTAGTGTTAAAACGGAGGCTACAATTATCTTGACTGATGTCAATGACGAAACGTCAACGTTTCTAGCCACAAAATATATTGCTGAAGTAAATGAGAATGCTCACGTCCATGCTCCTGTAAATGTTATCGGAAACAGCGTTCCCGAGGTGTTTGATCATGATCAGGTTAGAGTTCACGTCAAATGATTTGGTTCGGTTGATATAATTCTATTTGTAATAAAATCATGAGTATCCTTATCATCTTCAACTTTTGTTTAGTTTGCTTTTAATCCCTATAATGAAATCAGAGGGAGTTATAAATAAATACTTATAAATTTTACAACATTTGGGAAGTAAATCGATGATGAGAATGCTACTCTGAAAACAAATTCAATTAACATAAATGTATTATAACATGTAATCTTATATTGCGTTTAATGTACTTAAAGCTGATTTTTAGGAAGAAAATATGTATATAACTCTGTGGTTATGTTGATTTTGTATCAGATAATGTTCTAGCATTTAATGGTATTTACTAGGTTTACGTAATTATAACTATGAGCAATCTTATTAAGATGTTTCTGAACACAGGTGTTTTATTTAACGACACATTTGTAAACTTTCTTATTGTCCTATTGAATACTCTGAGCTCTATGTGCGCAATTTCTAGATTAATTTTGTCTTTTTTTCACTCTTATAATGTATTTCACATGAGTAGGCTTAATGATTATCTTTATCGACCATGGTAATTAAGTTGTTTATCTTATTTATTTGTTCTTAATGTTTAGGGCAGCAACGGAACTTTTCGGATGTACTTAGAAGATGATAATGACGTTTCGAGATAATTCCATCAGAAGGCGTTAATGAAGCGTCTTTTTTATTCTATTGAAAAATCCCATCGCATTAGACTACAAAAAAATTAAAATAATGAATTTCAAGGTATCATCCTTATACTTCAAACGTACTATGCTTAGAAAAGTATTTCTTCAAAGAAATTATATTTTATCGATAATATCATAAGGCTTCGACTTACGGCATTTATACTTTAATAACGAATCTAATCCATACCTTAGTACTTAATAGTAGGGTTCAATAAGGTTTCCAAATAATTCACGTGCCAATAAACCACCCTATTAAATTCATTAGCGAAAAAACGAACATTCAAAGTATTAGTTGCGGTATATTATGCGCTTATATACTAATAATACGCTAAAAAGGTCGCTAGCGTTTCCGCTATAAAAATTCAAAAATTTATAAAACAGCAACTTTTTCGTCTACTACCTATCTGGTCACGTCAGTGGGGCTAGCCTCTAGACGGCTCGGACAAATGCTACAAGATTTCTGCAACTTAAATGACTGGTCGGTAGGTATCGGCTTTCAACATTCCGATTAATATATATACATTTTTTTATATAAATGGTAAACATATCATGCACGTACTTAAATATCTTTTCAACTCAATTCAACCCAACAGATGGCGATACGTTTCGATGGATAGACAGCAACAGTTTTAAAATGAAGGAGGAATTCTGCTACAAAAAAAGTAATGAAACAAGAATTAAAACCACTATCACAAAGTTAAAAAATTTAATCCCTACTTTTGCAGCTTTATACACTAATCTGTAGGCCAAAGTTAGGGTTACATACTATAAATTTGTGGTTGTAGTTTTAATTCCTGTAAAAGTTATAGCTATCAGAGATATGGCTATACTGAAAGTTTATAGATGTTGTGTCCATTCTATGGACATATAAAAGCTGAACAAATAAATGGGAAAATAAAATAAAATTTTAATGAAAAATAGAGATCGTTGGTTATTCGTAGAATTACTATAAGAAGCATCCAGAACAAAATAAATTCTGTAATAAGAAACACACAAACAAATGATACTAGTTAGATAGATTTTAATACGATTTTCAATCCCTATTTTGGTTGGCATTGTGATCCATATAGAAAAATTTAGACTGTTTTCATTTAAAATTTAAAAGTTTTTTCCTATTTATTATATTAAAGTATTCATCAATAAAAAATATGCCAGTGAAAATCTTTACAACTCGCTGAAGCATTGGACGTGAAGTTATCCCCATTCTCTAACTTAAAACAGTAGTTAGATATAATTCTGGTAAATGAGCATAGAAACACTTATAGGAGACATTTAGGTTTATGGTCATCTGATACAATGACTAACTCACAGGCAACTAGAGGAATACAAGATAAATTCGAGGCAGGTGTGTGAGCTAGCGAAATGGAATACACAAGACATTAGGTGTATAACAAAACACGGTGACATTTTTATTAATCTCTACTAAACAGACTTTAGACACAATAATAAAGAAAACTAACTCAGGTTTTGTTTTAACGGATAAAACAAACTGAACTTCAACACATTGCAAGTAAGTTTAGGTTTTTTCACTCTGGTCGCTCGGTGTAAATTAGGTAATGATAAGTACCATTTCAGGAAATAATTTCACTGGTTGGAGAAGTATATCACATATACAAAGTTATAATGTAAAGCTAGACAATAACGCAGAACCAATCAGTAAACAGTAGTATCATTCCAGAGCCAATTAGAACCCGAGTTTCTTACTTCTTCACTTACCTGTAGCAACGTTACGAGAGGAAAACATAAAAAATGGAAGGAACACTAGGTAATATTGAAATAATACTCAATTTACTTATCCTTGTTACACCCTTAAGAAAGCTCTTGACATTTGATCGCAGGTGTACATGTTTTTACGGCTGAAACAAAAACTCAAAAACTACGAAAATATTAACAAAATTAATTTATTCTACTTTTACCTTAGACTAAGCCTCGATCCCATTTCGGGGGCCATTACCATAAAAAGTCATACCATGGATTGGACCGAGAAACAACATCACAACACTACGTCACTGTGGAAGCTCCTGACAACTATGGTTTAGGAAACATAAACACGGTCCAGCTTGAGATCACCGTGACAGATGCGAATGACAACACTTTTCTCACTTCCTGTTTCCTAAGTATGCAGCTCGACTGAATGAAAATGATGGCGATTTCCTGAGGCCACTCATTGTTCAGGTTCTATATTATCAACTTCTACTGAAATGTCATCTTATGAAAATAAAAGAATGAGAAATCTCAATTTGGTCAGTTTTGACACTAGTTTGTTAATATTTTGTTGTTTAATGTTGATAGTTAATACTGCACATACACAAAATGTTCTTAGTGTTTATAATATTATATCCACATACTAACATGGTCATAACTACAGAGGGTTAATCGCACTTATTAAAAATGTTATGTATATTTTAACGAAGTGGTGTGTCGCCGAGGTTGCAAGTTGTAGTGCCACGGGCGACATACTTAGTACTCACATATTTGGCTAAAGGTGGGTTTTGGACCACTCAACAGAGTAGTGTTGGCATGAATGGAATTATGGCTGAAGCATTTTGTCGCAAACGTTTTCTGAAGAAAGATATTCATATATACGAGGTTGTTAAGCGACATAGAGCCAAAGAACACAACAGTTTACAGAAGGAAGTCAGCAATATTCTCCATGAAAGCGGCAACACCCTCACTTCCCGACATTATAGAGAGCAAATACTCCATCTGTGAAGTAATTGTAATGAAATTTATAATAAGCAAAAATTTGAAGTTGATAAAAGCTCACAAGCTTCCAGTCACACGTCGAAATTAATAGCTACTTTCATTAAAATGATGGCCCAAGAAACTGGAATCACAATTTCGTTCAACCACATTTTTGTGAAGTCCCTCAGTATATATCCAACTAACTTTGTGTCCTTGGTATCCACGCTTTGAAGCCGGTGTCCACGTACAGGGAAGAACCTGAGGAAAGTTTGTAGTGATACATTAACCTCGCTGTCTTTCGTAGAAGCTTGTTGCAGTGTAAACTGTGGTATCAGGCAACAGTACGCAATCATGGGCATCAAACGATAAACGTAATAGGATGAACAGAGTTGTTTAAACATTTGTTTAACAACAGGCAAAGGCTTAGAATGGTCTATTCTTTCATTGGGGGTGTGTCTGTGAGCCAGACTAGTTTCGGAGAATTCCAATCCTCATCAGTGACCCTGGACACGACCACCATATGAAACTTCAGACCAAACCAAACCTTCATAGTAGTGAGTTAGTAATAGTTTTAAGGGCAGCGTGTAACCTGGATCTTTTTTCTTGTAAAGTGTCATAAGCCCTGACTAGAACAATGGACTGCAAACAGAAATTTGAAAAGAATTAAAAAACAGTAACATTCTTCTTTCAAGGTAGCTTAAGACAGTGTGGTCAATATTTGAGGAATAATTTTGCAAACAGATCCTACCTTGTGTTTGTTAGTAACATCGTTTCGGGCTCAGTGTCACCATGAAACACAAAGTAGAAGCTATCCAGAAAACTAAATCTTTTCTCAACGGTGACATTAAGAAATGTGTTAATATAAGTTTCTATATTTTGTGATATTTTTTGCCGTATTCAAATGTCAAACTTATCATAATAGGCAAACGATAGAGACTTGAAAAACAAAAACAAAATTGTGAAATTATCGCCGGTGATCCACAAGACAATTTTACCATCAATGCTGTAACGGGCGAGATTCGGCCTAGAATTCCCTTAGATTTTGAAAGAATCTCTCAGAAGAAACGTGACATTCGAACCTTTCTGTTAACAGTTAGAGCTTATGATCTGGGAAACCCTCTATTGTGTAGTGATGTTACTGTAGAGATATATGTCATGGTGAGTGACTACTTACCTCATAATTAGATTATCTTCCGATGTTATATAATGATAAAAATTATATGTGTCTTCTCCAAAATAAATATTTTTGTTATCAACATGTACCACACACCAAATGTTGACTTCAGTACTGGAGTCAGTAATTTGAGGGATTATGAGTACTGATATTTATTCTGTAGTGACATAGGTTTCTAAGAATACTTTAATAATATTCTATCTACCAGTATGTCTGTTTTTCCATTTAAAATTTTATATTCATCTGTTTGTGTGTCTATATGTTTGTTATATGTTTATTCCTCTCTATTAGTGAATATATAATGTTACGTACGACAGTTTCTAATAGCCTAAAACTGAGTTAAATTGTAATTTAGATTTAGTAGTTAAATACGCCGATATGTATCAAATTTATGATATTTTCCAAAAAGGTTTCGGTCAAACGACCTTCATCGGCCTTGAAATTAGTTTGATTGAAACGTTACAACCATTTACTTTGTAATTTCGGGCTTTATCTCACTGTACCTACATTTTTTGATATTTCGGGTTACTAAAAGTAATTTCATGTTATGTACAGAAGTAAACCCCAGCTGTTATGTTTGTTCTTTGTACTAAAAAAAACCTATAAAAACGACAATTGAAAACCAGCATGAATAACAATATAAATTTTCATAAATGCTGAAAGAATATTTACGTTGTACTGAAATAAAGCTCAGGCAGTGGCAGTGAAACTACTAAAAACATATTATGATAAAGAACACTTTGTGTCTCTATCAAATATTGAATGATAAATAGCGAACACCGAACATATTTTCCGAGTTGCTACGATACATTATTTGGTGAGAAATATGAAACCAAATTTAACTGCCTGGACTTAAAATAATTTGAATGGCTAATATTCGATTATGAATAACTGACAGTTTAATATTATAAATTTATGAAAAGTATGTTTGAGTATGAGATAAATATATCAAATTTAAAAATCAAATGAACTTATAGTTGACTTTCGAACACGCCACAGCGATATTACAACAATATATAAGTATAATATCATAAATCTAATAAACTTACTACTCAGGGAGCCAGAGCCCCATATTGGGGGTCGGTCCTGTCCCTAATGTAGAAGGCTGATATATATGTTGTTGTTTTTGGTTTGTTTGATTTTTAATTAGGACCTATGCCTAGTTAGTTGGTTCAACTCGACCAACCACAGAAATACATACAGAAAATATGGACCCTGGGTATGGCTATTCAACCAACGCACGACTCTGCACTTTATAGTTGTTTGAGTGTGACATCACATGGAGTATATCCTTCAGTTGACCACTCAATGCTGCTACAATGGGTTTGGTGTAAAATCACTTATTTCTAACTGTAGGTTGAATGTTATTCCAGCCAAACCACCCTTCTCCTTCACACCAGTATTGTATCTTTGCTGTAGGAGCATAACTGGAGAAACACCATTGTGTTTGCCATCACAGCGCCTAACTTTGAACCCTCCACGTTCTAGAAATCCTGAATGAACTGGTGGATCTGTACGTTGCAGTAACTTCATCTCACTCACATATTGGTGAAGGGATGGAGAAGGACTGCAGCAGTTACGTATGGCATCATATTT